GTTTGTTTTGTATCTCACATTGAGAGTTTAGTAAAGGTATAAGGAATTTCACCTTTATAAATAAGATGCTTTGGTTTTGGTTTGATAATTTGAGATAGTTATGATACCAAGAGAATAGTTAGGTGAGTAGGCTATTAAAAAATGTAATTGGGTTTTGGGTTAAGTTTTGGGTAAAGAGTTTTTTGTGACTTTTTTCATTCCAAAAGTCTTTTAGTTATAAAAATTTATTTGATAATGGATTAGGTTTAGAGTAGGTCATTTTGAATTAGGCCAAAATAAATATATGTGTGTATTCTTATTCTTGATTTGAGCTTATTATTTTGCTCGTGGATGCTGCGTGTGTGTTGATTTTTTAACAAATGGTATCAAAACGAGGTTTGTGGGAAGAAGAAGGTGAACTAAGTATTTTAAAATGTCTAAAAAAGGTATGTCTAGTATGCTTATGCCTAAGTTTAAAATTTCGTTATTTGATAAAAAAGAGTAATTTCATATTATGGCAAAGTACGATTCAAGATCTGTTAGTACAATAAGGGTTGATCAAGAATTAGAAAGTAGTAAGTTTGAGGGAATGTAATTGGAATAGAATTCATAAGAAGGTTGTTAGTACTATTAGATTGACGCTAGCCTCAGAGGTAAAGTATAGTGTGTTAACTGAGAATATTCTGAATAATTTGTGGGATAAACTTGAGGGATACTAGTCTCAGAGTTAAAGTATAGTGTGTTGACTGACAATAGTTTGTGAGATAAGTTTGAGAGTATTTAAGCATCAAAATCGTTGACTAACGATTATATTTGAAGATGGATCTGTATTCTCTGAAGATGAAAGAAAGTATAAGTCTTCATAATCACTTGAATGAATTTAATAGATTGATTTCTCAATTGTTGACGATTTCTGTTGATGAGTTAAAAGATGAAGAGAAAGCTTTAATTTTATTGTTATCTTTGTTCAAGTCTTATAGGCCTTTAGTTCAGACTTTGTTGGTGGGTAGGTCTACTTTGAAGTTAAATGATGTAATTATCCTATTGTGTGAGAACAAAAGGTTTATGAGAATACAAAACACAGATCAAAGGAGGATTCAAAAGAAGATTGATAGATCAAAAGGGAGATTCAAGTTAAGAGATAGAGATTACAGTGACATATAATGTTATTATTGTGGTGAAAATAGACACATCTAAGTGCGCTACAAGAAGCTGAAAGGGATATAGCTGCTTTTAAAAGGACGAATGATGAAAAAAATCGGATAAAGTAAAGAGTGATACCACTGCTGTTATGTCTGATGATGATGATATCATTTTGACCACTTATGTGGATGAGACTCAGACTTTGAAAAGTAATAAAAGTTGGGTATTAGATTCTGCTATTACAGTTCATGTTACAATTATAGGAGTTACTTTGTGGAGTTGGATGAGAATGAGAAGTATAGGAATATTGTGATTGCTAATAATAAAAAGGTGCAGATTCAAGGCATTGGAAGTGTTTGCCTTAGATCTCACAATGATGTTGTTAAGACGTTTCATCATGTAAAGTATGTATCGAGTTGTAACTACAATTTAATTACTTTAGGTGAGTTAACTTCTCAGGGGTACACATACTATGGTAGTAATGATTCGTTAAAAGTGTACAAGAATGGTAGTATGATTCTAAAAGATAATAAGGTCAAAAATCACTGGACATACTTGATGGAGGCTCAGTTGCTGGGATTCCTATGATAAAAGAAAAAAAAAAAGGATAAGCGTATTAGCTTTACAGATTCTATTAAAGTATTTAGAGATTCAAGTTAAGGGAGAATTTGTTGGGATTTATCTTGAATCTCATAATCCTACATTGAAAGTTAAGTGAAGTTATAAGAGTTTGAGTTTGTTTTGTATCCCGCATCGGGAGTTTAGTAAAAGTATAAAGGGTTTCACCCTTATAAATAAGATATTTTATTTTTAGTTTGGTAATCTCAGATAGTTAAACATAAAAAAAAAAAAAAGCTAGATGAGTGTAGCTAGGTGAATAGGCTATTAAAATGATTTAATTGAGAATTGGATTTTAGGTTAAGTTTTGAGTAAAGAGCTTTTGGTAATTTTTTTAATTTTAAAAATATCTCAATTATAAAGATTTATTGTAAAGATTTATTTAATAGTAGATTAGATTTAGAATAAGTCATTTTGAATTGAATTGAAACAGTATGTTTTTATTTTTAATTTAAACTTATTATTTTATTCATGGGTGTTACATGTGCATCGATTTTCCAACATATTCTTTCTCATTCATATCTCCAATTCCCAACAAAAAATTTTTTTTTATCCAATCAAAACATTTAAATAAAAACACATTTAATCATATGAAATAAAATGTTTGTTCTGTTTACTATGAAAAAAAAAAACTCATATCGTTTTTCACGAGTTTTACGCGTTACCTTTAAAAAGAATAAAAATGAAAGAGATATATGTTGACTTGACAGATATATTTATTATGAAACACGCTTTAGTTTCAAGTTATGAAAATTGGATATATTAGTTAACTTTTCAGGCTTCCGAGAAGCTTTTGTTGTTTGTAGTGCTTTGTAATATATTGTGTTTTCTTTTGGGCAAGTGAATGATGCTACAGCACAAAAAATTTGCCCCAATTAACCATAAAAGAATAGAAGCCATCTATTGCCCCAATTAACAATAAAAGAATAGAAGCCATCTACTTTTGGTTTCTCATGTAACATGTTTATTGGTATACTTTGTTAAAGCAAAGTAACTTGGTGGAAATAAAAGAAGAGACACAAAAGTAAAAGGAAATGAATTATTGAAGTCCTAAATACTAAAGCATCTCATCATGAACTAGGTGTTTAGCTTCATATAGAAGCAAGTGAAAGTTGTTATCCAAATGAAAAACAATGGAAAATAATGATTTCAAAAGAGGAATTCTCTATGTTTCTCTTGTAATCTCAGCAATTCTTTATCATATACATGCCTTTGAAACTTCTATCTTTCCAGATCAAACACTGTCATCACCCTATGCAATGGCACCATCACTACAGTTGTATCCTCAATGAAAATGGAGAACATCCCTTGCCTAAACGACTCCTTCAAGGAGAACCAGCACTTGGTCATCACATTCAGAAGCCCCTAGTTTGTAAGTAACATCTATGGTAATTGCATAGTACCCGTCGGTCCATCCTACCGGCCTTGTACCGTTTTTATACTCGATGAAAGCGCGTTTGGTAGTCGTTCTCTCTCTGGCTTGATCATTGAAAAGATGGTGATGATATGAAACGTATTTTTTATTTATTTTAGTTATATCTTTATTTATTATTATTTATTTTAAATTATAATTATCGATGTTAGGATTATTTTGAATTTATTATTGTTTAATTTGTTATTTCAAAATTGTAGGCATTTAGTTTAATTAAGAAATTAAGTAAAATTAGTTTTAAAATTAAGTTTGTAGGTATAAAGAATTATTAATAGAAAATCAGAATTTAAGTTTACTCTAAAAATCTCTTTTCCTTTCCTCTATTTTTGATACGCATAATTAGGAATTAGAGCCAAGCAGAGAAAGAGATGAATACGAGCAAGCTATTTATCAAGCTTGAAGAAGGTAGTGATAAACTTTTGTGTTTATCTATGAACATGATATCTCCCTTGAATCAAATGGCTTAATACAAAATATAAAATTTCATAAATGAAACGAAAGAAATCTTAGAATCATATCAATTACAATTAAGGTCAGACAACTTCAATAATTTTATGGATGAAATTGAGGGTGTTTTTGCACAACTTTAATTGCAATTGATGTATGACAATTTCGAGTTCGAGTTCAACAACTTAATAGATTAGGCTAGACGAGTCCAAAAACTTGTCGCTCTCTCAAGTTTATGATTTGTTTTAAGATCAATTATTTTCAACGCGTATCATTGACTCTTGAAACAAAGAGAAAACGTGTGGGGACAATCAAATAGTATTTTTCAGGTTTTAACCCTTGAGAACAAGGGTTATTTAAAGGGGAAGAAATTTAAAGGGCAAGAAATGTTACGTATATTTTATTTATTTTAATTATATTTTAATTTATTATTATTTATTTTAAATTAGAGTTATCAGTAAATGGTTAGGATTATTTTGAGCTTATCATTATTTAGTTTATCATCTAAAAATGATAGACATTTAGTTGAATTAAAAAATTAAAAATTTTAAAACTCATTTTAAAATTAATTTTATAGGTGTGAAGAATTATTAATAAAAAATCACAATATGAATTCACAAGAGCCTTTAAAAAAAAAAAAAACTCATCAGTTTCTCTCGAGGTCGTCAACTTTGTAGTAGCTATATCATCTGTTTGAGTACTGGTATATGTAAATTTTGATATGATCATAAAATTCTACTATTTTGATTGAATTATGAAAAATTTACCCTTATCATTATTTTTAGATGGGGTGTCTGTGAATTATGACTCTAGAAAAAATATGATGAAGAACAAATTAAGAAAAAAACTACATAGGCATGATGTTAATTTTTTTTATGGTATTATTGGTGGGGCTACCATTTTTTTCATCAGACAGCTCATGCCAGCGCAACCCCTTGGATTTTTTTGCTTCCAGACCGCAATTATTGTACCTTTGACACTGAGTGATGGCCCTTTGTCCTAATTTCCATTTCCCTTGTCTGGCAGAAAACAATATGGATGGCAACTAGTCTTTAGAAATTACAAGTCAATGGAAATTTGGAAAAGCTTGAGACGAACTGCAACTTCGAGGAATCTGCTTTTGCGGTAACCTGCTCTTAGCTATGAGAAAATTAACTTGACTAAGTCAATAAAAAAAGTTTTGTCACTTTCTTTCTATGAAGTGTGCTGAAAAAGCAAAAGTGCCCCATTACAAGACCCAAACCAATCAATGAAATGATACCTTTTCATTTCTTATCCACAATTTTAGCTTTTATAGACAACCTGTTATACAGTTTATTCAGTCCTACTCTGAAATTAAGTTCAATAATAGAGAAAGAATGAAAGAGATGAAAAAGGATCAATGGGATTTTTCCCAATGTTCTCGTTAGCTTCTTTGCTGTTAATCCTAATCAGCACAAGTCTGGCAAGAGCAGCCTTTCCTGAAAGCAAAACAAATACTACAACATATGATGAAACAATTGCTGAACACATTGAAGGTGAAGAAGAAGAAGTGTTCTTCGGGGGACTTGCTGCATATCCATCGAAGTATATTTCTTATCGAGGCCTGCAGAAACCACCAATCTGCAATGCAAATATATATGGAAATTGCATACAACCTATTGGTAAGAGCAATCGGCCTTGCACTTTATATACTCGTTGCAAACGAGGACTCAAATAAATTTTAGTAAAAGATATGAAGATTGATGTTTTGCATTCCTTTTTAAATGTTACTGTGATCAAGAAGAATGTTGTTTATTTTGTTTGTAACAGAGTGTAAGAGAGTGTTATTATATTGTGATTAATAAGAAAGATTTATATTATATGAATCATTGTGATTTCTAGTACAAAGTTAAATTTGCCAGTTTGGAAGACAAAATAAAAGCCATGAATAGTTGTTCTCCTTTTCTCCTTCAAAAGCTGAACATGGTTTAACGTTCCCAGCTGAATCTGAGGGAAAGTAATTTGGAAGACTGATCTGATGTCAAGCAATGATCCAATGCTCGAGGAACATTTTCAGATTACTAACAAACTTGTTATGATGTGCCAATAAAACCAATCTTGGAGAATTTTCTTCAATCATTCAAAAGTAAATGGTTTGAGACATATGCACTTGGAAAGAAAGACTAAAAAATGTTTTTCAAATCTACTCAAAAGTAAATCCAGCAATCCACAGTTAAATGGTGGAAGATGAGTGTGAATGGCAGTATTAAAATAGTTATCATAAAGCTATGCTGTCCAGAAATTCATCAACCAACTGTGATCAAAGATATGTATTCAAGCTATGCTTTCCAGAAAGTTGCCGCGTTCACATGGTTGAATGAGTCGTATGGGTGCTTTTCCAAAGTCAGGGGTCCCAGGCGTCCTATCCTCTTTTTTTTGGGTTGGGAGCTTTAAACCATCCAATGTAATGAAGCACTTGGAATGTGGTGTATGGACTACTTTAAGTCTCAATCATCTTATCATAAAGAACTGCACAAGATGCATTCTTGCCATCACAAATCTCACGTTAACTTGACTTTGTTAAGGGTCTACTAAATGACAGAACGGTGCTGAACCACTGTTGAAAGTTGAAGCCACCTACCCTGTTCTTGCCGTTCTCTTATTGACCCACTGGTGCTTCAGCTTCAAAACTTCTCCTGCTATACACAATTACATATTATTCCTTCTCTCCAATAGACTCAGTTCCATGATTCCTTTCATTTTCTACCTGGCGTCTCTCCATCTTCTCTTCCCTGTCAATATAGCTGGCGAATCATCTGCCTACAACCCAATCGATTATATTCTCCTCAGCTGTGGTGCATCATCTGATACGACATCGGAAGATGGCAGGAAATGGTTCACTGATGAAAGGTCCAAATTTTTTACCTCTAATCCTGAAACCGTTTCATTTGTATCCACAGCTTTACATCAAGATCAATCTGTTTCTCAAGTTCCTTGCATGACAGCTAGAGCTTTTCATGATAAATTCACTTATAGCTTTCCGGTCTCACCTGGCCTCAAATTCCTACGTTTCTATTTCTACCCGGCTCAATACTCTGACTTTGATGGAACCACTTCCCTCTTCTCTGTTACCGCCAATAACTACGTTCTTTTGGAAAATTTCAGTGCCTATTTAACCGTTTCTGCTATAATTCCTCCAGAAGCCTCATTGATGAAAGAATTTATGGTTCCAGTTTTGGACAAAGAGAGGCTAAATATAACCTTTTCCCCATCTTCAAACTCTGTCGCCTTTGTAAACGGTATTGAAGTTGTTTCTATACCAGACAATCTTTATGGAGGTGACAGGGAAAATTCTTTGCCCTTTGTTAATACCAAATTTGCTACCTTTGATATTCCTAATACCACAGCTTTTGAAACTGCTTATCGTCTAAATGTTGGTGGACAAGATGTGGCTAACGTAAAAGACACAGGCATGTTTCGAACATGGCATGATGATTCGTCCTATATCTTTGGTGGTGCATTAGGTTCTACGCCTCATCGGTCCAATGTTACAATCATATACACCCAAGAAACTCCGGCTTATACGGCTCCGGTTTTTGTCTACAGTACATCACGAACTATGGGTGCTGATCCGAAAATCAACATGAATTACAATCTGACATGGATTTTTTCTGTTGATACTGGCTTCAGATACCTCCTTAGGCTTCATTTTTGCGAGACTCAATTGGAAGTGACGGAATTAGGTCAACGCGTGTTTGATATATGCATCAATAATCAAACAGCTGGCCCTGAATTCGACGTGATCGAGCAGAGTGGCGGTAATAGCAAGCCGATATACAAGATTACATTGCGTTGATCCCAAATGGATCCGGTCAAAGTGAACAAGTTCTGTGGCTAGCGTTACACCCTAGCGAAAGACGTTGGTTCAAAGTTTGCTGATGCAATCCTGAACGGTTTAGAGATTTTTAGACTCAACAAATCAGACGGTAGTCTTGCAGTGCCAAATCCTGAACCGAATTTAAGTCTTACACGAAAGGAGCCGGACCAAGGTTGCCCTATTGGAAAAAGGAAAAAGGGTGCTCGCAGCAGGTTATGGTCATTGCCATAGCTGTCTTTAGTGCTATATTTGCTCTTACCCTTATCATATGTTTTTTCATTTTCAAGCACAAAAGGAAAGTAAAGGATTCAGCTTCAGCTGTTAGCATACCCAAATCATCATGGGGACAAGTGCCCTGCCCATCAAACTCCACCTGTACAACCAACGTTTCCTTACTACCATCTGATCTTTGTCGCCGGTTCTCGATCATTGAGATTAAAGAAGCCACCTTTAATTTCGATGAGCAATTCATTATTGGCTCAGGAGGATTTGGTCACGTCTATAAAGGTTGTATCGATGGTGGTACAGTTGCAATCAAAAGGTTAGATTCATCATCAAGGCAAGGAACCCGAGAGTTCCAAACTGAACTTGAGCTACTCTCCAAGCTACGCCATGTCAATCTCGTGTCCTTGATTGGTTTCTGTGATGATAACGGTGAGATGATTCTTGTCTATGAGTATATGCCGCGAGGGACCCTCCGAGATCATCTCTACAAAACCAAAAACCCTCCTTTACCATGGAAAAGGAGGTTGGAAATCTGCATTGGAGCCGCTCGTGGATTGCATTACCTTCATGCAGGAGTGAAGCACCCTATCATTCACCGGGATATCAAATCTACCAACATATTATTGGATGAGAACTTGGGTGGCCAAGGTTTCTGACTTTGGATTGTCTAGAGTGGGTCCAACAAACATGTTTCAAAGCCATGTCAGCACTGTGGTGAAGGGAAGTGTCGGATACGTTGATCCTGAGTACTATCGAAGGCAACAGTTGACTGAGAAATCCGATGTTTACTCATTCGGTGTGGTTTTATTTGAAGTATTATGTGCTAGACCGTCAATGATTCCAGGGCTACCAAAAGATCAGGTCAGCCTGGCTCGATGGGCCAGGATTTGCCATGCAAGAGGAACCCTTGGACAAATCATGGACCCAAATTTGGTGGGTGACATTTCACCTCTGTGCCTAAAGAAATTCGGTCAGCTTGCTGAGAGTTGTATCTGTGACGAAGGAATTGAGCGGCCAATGATGAATGATGTGGTTTGGGGTTTAGAATTTGCACTGCAAATCCAAGAGGGAACTGAGAGGAACATGATGAACATGGGAGATTATAATCAGGTGATCAGCTCAAGCCAAACCAGTCCTTTGATCTCGCAAGGAGCAGTGACTACCACGGATGATGATGATGGTGACTTGTTTAGTGTTTCAGGTGGACAAGTATCAGAATCAAGGAGCACGATTAGCAGTGGTGAGAGGAGTGTTAGTCGAAGAGATATTGATAGCAATAGGATGAAATCTGAGACTGTATTCTCGGAAATTATGAATGCAAATGGAAGATGAGATTATAGTACCTGCTAAACCTTTTGTTTTGTAATCTACAGTTTTCAGAGATTTTTGTCCCCAAATCCCCCAATCTCTTTATATGTACAATGTAAAAATATACGCATTAAATCTTTATATTTGAAATATATATATATATATATATATATTAAAGTGAAATTTGCCAATATATTATAACTCTACATTTAATTTCATTCTTGTATTTTAATTTTATTAAATTTTATCAATCCTAGAATTTAATCAGCTTATTGTCGTGGAGTAATTTTTTGCTATTTCATTTTTAAAAAATTAAATATTTTACATGCTTTGATATATACTGATATTAATGTAGAACAAAATTATTCATCACATTTATATATTAATAATAGAAACTTATGTATAAAGTTATTTATATCCATCATATCATCGGTGACATGAAAGATGGAATTAATCATTTTACCATCTTGTTTAATGATAAATCTTTTACCCTAAACGTGTAAAAATATTGCTTTATAATTAGCGACCAATATTTTTTTATCAAAAAAGAAAAAAGAAAAAAAAATTGTGTATCATGGACAACCTAAGGTTGCAAGAAACCTTGTAATTTTTATTCTATGGATATCAATATAAAATTAAATAAATAATAAATTTATATATATTATATATTAAAAAATTCAAAACAACTTTGACCTGATCTGTATTTAAAATTTTAAAAAGTTCAACCCAAATCCTCATTTTTAAAATACATCTATTGGAGTGTTGGATCACATTAAATTGAATAGGTTGTTTTATCATCTCTATTTTTATTTTTTATTTTTTTATAAAATATTATTTATTTTAAAATGATAAAAAAATAACATTTAAAAAATACAAAATAAAGAAAAAAAAAACTAAATAAAGAAACAAATTTTTTTTTAAAAAAAGAAGGGTTCCCACGTGGACACCCAAACCTCTTCAAAATCTATAAAATTAAATATGTAGATACTTTTTTTTTAATATTTTGACAAAATTAATAGAATTTAAATATTTAATAAATTTTTTTAATTGAAATAGATAATTTTACTACTATACTTTCAGTTTCAATTAATTTCAAATAAAAATGAAATTGAATTATTGCACATAAGATTTTATTAATGCAAACGAAAATTTTGCATCAACTTTTTCATTTTATATCTAAATATCAACAAAATTAAAAAAATACAGTATAGAATTTAATAAAATTGAAATAAGTAGCAATATCAAAATAACTTATTTCCATTATTTCCAAGAATAAGAAGCATACTTTGCTTATTACAAGCTTGCAAATGCCAAAAAAAAAAACTTAT